AGTGCAGATAAGATCAGTGGCAGCTCGCAGTCCTACTCGGTCCAGCCCGCTCAGTGAGATTCCAGAGCCACCTCCATCCATTCTGGAAGCACACGCTGTGCTTCATACAGAGACTTACATCTGTGGGATGACTGAAGCTATAAAAAGTGCTGACAATTTCCAGCAAATTTGCATATGTTGCTGCCGCTGCTGCTTATATAAGTGATTTCTAGTTAACTACAAATACAAAAAAACCAAGGCCCAAAAATAGGTTTTCAAAGAAACCACTTGCAAATGTGACTGAATCTTTCCAACATTCCAAAAATCACTTGTCTAGGAAAAGCAGACGCAACAGAGGTTTCTCCAGAGGGTCCCATGCAAAGCACCTCCTGGAATACACACTACCCCACTTTCTCAACATCTGTGCTGCCCTGCACCATAAAGGTTGTCACAAACTGGAGCACCTGAGCCTTGTGCCAGGTTGCTCTTGCGTCTGGAGCCATACAGATCTCTCTACACACATCATCATCATCATCCCAAGCACCCTGATGCAGCTGGGGTGAGGAGGCAGCCAGCCTCAGCATAAGAAACAGGAGCTGTTGAGAAATCCCCCAGTGCATCACACACCACACTCCACTGGCTCTGTGCTCACCACCTCCTCACCTGCATCTGCACAGATTCCCTCTTGCTCCAGGCTGGGAAGGACAATTGCTTAACCTGGGGCTGCGACAGTCTGGTACCAAGGGGCCCTGGAGGGCTCTGCTCAATGGTCAAAAGGTCAGGCAAAAATATAAAGCACACAGGAGGGAGGAAAGGGTCAGAAAATCCCTGCTTTTCAGGTCTCACAGCTGCCATAGCTATTAATCACCAAAAAAGAGGTGAGGGTTGAAGCTGATGGTATCTATTCAATAGGATATGGATGAACAACACCCTCCTTCCCCAAGCCCTTCAGCTTGCAGAAGGGCGCTGCTTGCTCAGCCAAAGCAAAACCAAATAATCTGACAGCAGTCTTCAGGATTCCTCTAGTGTCCATGGATTCTCACGCTCAGGAAATACTGCTTAGGGACCATTTCTCCTTTAACCTACTATCTACAGCAGTGTAGGAAACTGTACTTGGATTTCCAACATAAGGAAGGCAAGGACACGCTGGAGAGAGTCCAGCAATGGGCCATGAGGATGATTAAGAGTCTGGAGCATCTGTCATACAAAGGAAGGCTGAAAGATCTGGGACTGTTTAGCATCAAGACAAGAAGGCTTGAGAGGGATGTTATCAACATGAATAAAAATCTATGGGTGAGACAGTAAAAAAATTATATAGACTGTTTTCAGTGATACCCAGGCAAAGGATGAGCTACAATGGGCACAGGTTAAAACACGTAAAATCCCTTTAAAGGGACACAAATTCCTTTAAAGGACACAAGAAAAAACTGTGAGGGTAGTCAAACACTGGAATACACTGTCCAGAACAGTTGTGGTGTCCACCCTTGCACACACTGAAAACCTAACAGACACAGCCAGGCAAGCCAAGCTAGCTGATCTCCAAAGGTCCTTTCCAACCCAGTGATTCTGTGATTAAAACCACAGCAGCCTCCTCAACTGCTCCCAACGAGCCCAGCCTCAGGGAATCCATCTGGAACCCCACCACGAAGCTGATACCCTCCCCTTCTCCCTTTGCTCTCTGCTTTTGATCGTTTTTTGCTTTATGCTACCACTTTTGCTCTCTGAAGTGGTGTCCTCTCCAGAGCTCACAGAGACATGGCAATTCTGGCTTGTCCCTACCATGAGCTCCTCCAGTCCTCCTTCAGCTCTCACTGCTTCCATCACTGACTTGAGCAGGAAGCTCCAGCCACCCCTGTTTTCCTCTAACCCTTCACTGTGGGCTTGCAGCAGCCACAGGAGCAGGAAACAAAAGGATGCCAAATGTCTTTATCTCTTTATCTCTCTATGTCTCTCTTGCCCAATATTTATGGTCCTTTCCTTGATCTCTGTGATGAATGAATTGAAAACACAATTTTCCCCCTCTGCTGTTCTTCACACCTTTCTCACTTCCCTCTTTCACCAAAACTCAGCACAGACTTTTGAACCAGTGCTGTCAGATGAGATCCCTGTGTTGGTAAATGCGAAGCCCTACAAATCAGAAAATCCAGCTTTCCTGTCTAAACACAGTGCAGGCTTCAAGTCACAAAGGCTTCAGAAGAAGGCCACCTCCTCCTGGTAGCTGCCAGCCACTGATGGACCTTGCTGAGAGAAGGAAGGGTGTGTGCTGTGGAGGCAGGCAAGGCCACAAGGCACGTTCAGTCTGCTGTGGCAGAAAATGCAGCCAGCTCTCCTTCAGGCTCCAGAGAGAGCACAAGCAGTTGCTGGGGTAAACTGGGCACGGGGAAATGAGGGCAGGACAGAGGGAGAGAATAACATCTTCCTCTTAAAACAACAAAGTGTTGTCAAGTTCAGCTGAGGACAGAGCACTGAACCTTACTGAGAGCTGCAGGGCCAGGGCCACCCAAAGCCCATGGAAGGGCTGGCTGGTACAGAAAGGAGACTGATGTCCACGGCCCCATCTGGACATGCACTGTGACCACCGCCCTGGCACCAGTTCCCATGTCAGTGTGGCTGGGCAGGGACTCAGATCACAGAACAGAGAAGGACAGTATTTCTCTTGTGGTGTCTTTCTGTTAGATCAGGTCCCTGAGAGCTGCACACAAGGGATAAACTACCTATAGAGAAGGGAAAGGCTACCTGAACAGAGCCATGAGAGACAGACAAACACAGAGCTTCCTTCTCACACATCACTCTGATGTGTGCCAAGTACCTGTGATCCCATGGATTTTGGTTAATTAGCTCTCATTTGATGTATTTTTTAACTCCAGCTCATAGTCCTCATTAGGTACCATCTCTGGGGAAAAGGGAAACATGCCAGAGTGAAAACACTCAGCCCTTGCCATTTTTCTTGCCTTCTTTCTTTTTTCTTTCCCAAGAGAAAGGGGGCAGGCTGTGTGGACAAGAGGTCTCCATGAAAGCTGTCAGTGGTACACAAGCCAAGGGTCAGAAAGGCACATTTTGGGGCTGTGGGCACTGACCTGAGCATGGTGGAACTTGCTCAGACTTTGGAAACAAGAGTTTCTGACAGGCAAGCAAAGTTATGGTATTTTGAAGCAATTCCCCACTGCCTCTGCTGAGCAGAATCTTCCACATCTCATGATACATTTTTCCCCAAACAACTCCCAAATTCCTAGATGTGTAAACATTTAGCAATTTGTGAAACCACAAACATTCACGTTTCTCAATAAATGATCTTGTAGGTGGCAAAACTGACAAACAACAGGACTCTCACATTCTGAACCTAACAAAAGAAATCCCAAGTGCATCAGTTGCACAGGAAAGTCCAAGACCTCACTCTTGTAGCACTGTGTGGGCAATTCTTGTTTCTACTTTCCTGTCTTTCCAGGAAAAATAATAAGAAACAGGAAATCAATGGAAGCATCATAGATTTTTAAATTATTTGGACAAGAGAAATGAAAAGGCAGTGCCAGATTTGTGGGCAAAATGTCCTTTTGCATAGAATCTTTTGCTCGCAGAACATTTCTCTACATGCAGCTGGTGGGCAGGTTTTGCTCAGGACTCTGCTTCCTGCTTCTCTGGATTCCCTGGGAGGTGTGCATGGAAAACTGGGGATGGGCATTGCCTGCCTTGCATATAAGCAAAGCAGGCTGGCTGATTCCCCTTGGAAGGGGAGGACAAACAGAGGCTGACCTGAGAAATGAGCTGTGAATGGCTTCAGCCCACTCACTGCAGGGAGATGCTCCCCCACACCACTGCCATGCCCACAGCCTCGGTGTAAGTTCCAAATGACAACAAGGCATGGCCAGCAAGGGGAGGACTGATGGGGTCACGGCAAGCTCTTGTTTTAGTGCATGAGATGTTTCAGAATTCACATGCAGAGATTGTGAAGGAACTCTTCATGGACATATTTTTTACTCTCACGTGGTGTCTTGTTTGCATGGACTGAAAGCCGTAAACACATCCAGGCACAAGCAGTCCCGAGGTGGGAATCCAACTGTCATCCCAGCTGTCAGGGCCCTGAAAACGACGGAAACTGACAGAACTTTTCAGTATCCTGACAGAAAGTCCATGGGTCTGCACAAGCAGCCTTAACCCTGCTGGGGCTCTCTAAGCCATGCCACAGGTATGGCAGTGAGGTGTCTGCAGCTGGCTGGGGAACTGCTGCTACAGAGGGAGAGAACAGATGGGAGAACTTAGAGAATCCTCCAGTACCTACAGGTACTGGAGAGGGACTTTGGAAAAGGGCATGGAGTGAAGGGGGAATGGCTTCAAGCTGAAGAAGGACAGATTTATATCACACATTAGGAAGAAGTTCTCCTTTGCGAGGGTGGTGATGCCCAGAAAACTTGTGGTTTCTCCTGGAAGTGTCCAAGGCCAGGCTGGACGGGACTTGGAGCAATCTGGTCTAGTGGAAGGTGATGCTCATGTGAGAGTGGATGTAATGGGATGATCATTAAGGTCCCTTCAAACCCAACCCATTCTGTGATTCCATCGCTCTATACCTGAATTACCTCTTCCACAACATAAAGCCACGACATGTTCAGTGAAAGGAAATGAGAAGGAGCGGAACTCGCCCAGCATCCGACCCTCAGTGACAGGGCTGCATCACCGCAGCCACCGACTTCTGCTGCTGCCCAGCGACCGTGAAAACCCAAGCGTCCGGAGCAGCCCGCAGCTCGTCACGCACCTCAGCTCTGCCTCTCCATGGCTACAGCTACAAGCACCAAACGCTCTGGCCGCCGGAGCGAGGCCGGGCAAGCGGATCCTTACAGCACCCGGCAGCCTCAGCCCGCGGTGCCGGGACACCTGCCCGGGGCAGGGGCACAGCGATGCCGAGGGGGGTCCAACAGCAGCACGGCCATGGCCCCGTGTGCCCCCCGGGACGGCCGGTTCCCCCGCGGGACATCCCCGGGCCGGCCCTTCCCGCCCCGCGCCCGCCGCAGCCCCGGCCCCGCTCCTACCTCCAGCAGCTGGACGTAGCTGGCCGGGAACCAGCCGCGCAGCCCGTCCTCCTTCTGCCCTTCCCACCAGCCGCCGTCTGGCACCTGCAGCACCGTGATCAGCTCACCCGCCGCGAAGCGCAGCCCCTGCCGGTGCCGCTCCCCGGAGAAGGGGTACAGCGCCTGGCAGCGGGTCCCCGACATCCCTCCGGGACGCGCCTCAGCCGCCGCCGCCGCTCCGCGCCCGCCCCGCTCGGCTGAGGGGGCCCCGCTCCGGCCCGGCGGGCGCCAGGCGCGGGCAGCGCGGGCAGCGGCAGCCGAGCAGCCCCGGCGCCGGGCGCCCACGGGCACCGCCGGCTCGGGGTGGGGCGGGAGAGGCGGGACGGGCTGGGTGAGGGGAGGAGGGCGAGAGAGGGAGGAGGAGTGGTGGGAGGAGGGGGAGAGCGGGAGAGGGGAGGACGCGGCGGGAGGAGCGGCCGTGCGGTGCGAGGGGCGGGCGGTGCGTGTGGCGCTGGTGGCGGCGGGACAGCGACAGGGACCGTGTGTGAGTGACCCGGGGGGCGAGGCGGGGGGACAGCGACAGGGACCGTGTGTGAGTGACCCGGGGGGCGAGGCGGGGGGACAGCGACAGGGACCGTGTGTGTGACCCGAGGGGCGAGGCGGGGGGACAGCGACAGGGACCGTGTGTGAGTGACCCGAGCGGCGAGGCGGGGGGACAGCGACAGGGACCGTGTGTGAGTGACCCGAGCGGCGAGGCGGGGGGACAGGCGGGAGGAGCGGCCGTGCGGTGCGAGGGGCGGGCGGTGCGTGTGGCGCTGGTGGCGGCGGGACAGCGACAGGGACCGTGTGTGAGTGACCCGGGGGGCGAGGCGGGGGGACAGCGACAGGGACCGTGTGTGAGTGACCCGGGGGGCGAGGCGGGGGGACAGCGTGTGGGCGAGTGCACGGGGAACACCGCTGTGTGCGGCAGGCACTGTTCCGAGGGACTCTGTGTGCTGCCTGTGTGCTCCACACCCCTCTGTGTGTGTGTGTGTGTGTGACAGGCACCGTTCGAGGGACTCTGTGTCCTCCACACCCCTCTGTGTGTCTGTGTGACACTGTTCACAGGGACGCCTGTGTGCTTCACACCCCTCTGTGTGTGTGTGACAGACACTGTTCCAAGGGACTCTCTGTGTTCTGCCTGTGTGCTGCACACCCCTCTGTGTGTCTGTGTGACACTGTTCCGAGGGACTCTGTGTGTGCTCCACACCTTTCTGTGTGGCTGTGTGTGACAGACACTGTTCCGAGGGATTCTCTGTGTGCTCCACACCCCTCTGTGTGTCTGTGTGACACTGTTCCGAGGGACTGTGTGTGCTCCACACCCCTCTGTGTGTCTGTGTGTGACACTGTTCACAGGGACGCCTGTGTGCTTCACACCCCTCTGTGTGTGTGTGACAGACACTGTTCCAAGGGACTCTCTGTGTTCTGCCTGTGTGCTGCACACCCCTCTGTGTATATCTGTGTGACAGACATCGTTCCGAGGGATTCTCTGTGTGTGCTCCACACCCCTCTGTGTGTGTGTCTGTGTGTGTGTGTATGGAGGACAGATGTGTGTGTGATTCTCTGTGAAGAATCCCCTCTGTGTGTGTGTGTGTACGGAGGACAGATGTGTATGTGATTCTCTGTGGAGAATCCCCTCTGTGTGTGTGTGTCTGTGTGTGTGTATGGAGGACAGATGGGTGTGTGATTCTCTGTGAAGAATCCCCTCTGTGTGTGTGTGTGTACGGAGGACAGATGTGTATGTGATTCTCTGTGGAGAATCCCCTCTGTGTGTGTGTGTCTGTGTGTGTGTATGGAGGACAGATGGGTGTGTGATTCTCTGTGAAGAATCCCCTCTGTGTGTGTGTGTGTACGGAGGACAGATGTGTATGTGATTCTCTGTGGAGAATCCCCTCTGTGTGTGTGTGTCTGTGTGTGTGTATGGAGGACAGATGGGTGTGTGATTCTCTGTGAAGAATCCCCTCTGTGTGTGTGTGTGTACGGAGGACAGATGTGTATGTGATTCTCTGTGGAGAATCCCCTCTGTGTGTGTGTGTGTGTCTGTCTGTGTGTGTATGGAGGACAGACGCTGTGTCACACCGTGGGTCAGTAGTGATGCCCACACAGAGAGGCAGCCGTGTGTACCAGAGTCACCGTGTTTGTGACAACGGGACACCCATGTGTGACAAGCAGCAGTTTCACTCTGTGAGACACTGTGTCTGAAGCATGTGTGACTGTGTGTTTGTCACCTGAGTGTGTGCAACGCCTGTGTACCTGTGGGTGAAACACTGTGCATGTCTGACACCTACACAGATGACCCTGTGTCTGACACTGTGTGTGTTTGGAGAGAGTCACGCCTGTGTGAGTGTGAGACATCTCTGATGTCTGGGACACACCGTGTGTGTGTGCATTTGTCACACACGATCAAGGGTGTGAGACAAAGACATTATGTGACACACTTGAGCACGTGTGAAGTGCGTGTGTGACACATCCTCAGGTGCGTGTGTCCCTGCAGCACGTGTCTGAGTCACACCTTGCTTCATGCATGTCTGACTGTAGCTCGTGTGTGAATTCCACGTGTGTGAGCACTCTGTGTGGCACTCTGCTTTGTGGCCTTTCTCCTAGACCTTTCAGAAGGTGGCTTTCAATGTAGCTGTCCTTCATTTAGCGCAGACCGGAGCTGAGCTCTGCAGGGTTTTTTATTAGGATTCTTTCAACATTTTTCAGCCTTTTTTCACAGTTCTATTTTTGATTCTCTGGATTGTGATGAATGGCTTTAAATCACCCCCTTTTGATATGTATTTAAGCTGATAACTACTGATCTATGATCCATTATGTGGTATTATCACACCAGCTGTGCCTTGCTTGGCAAAACTGCACAGACCTGATATCATGGCACACATCCAGGTACATCTATCAGCAGTATTCTCTAACAATGCCATTTATAGATGGCAAGAACTGAAATCAAAACAAAATCCTGTCTTTTTTTCAGTGTATACAAACCCAGCTTTGCTATATTGCAACTTGGATCCACATAGAGTGTTCACGAAAAATAATTAATTTTGGTTTAAATATTGCTTTTCTTATGTTTGATGTTGACAGAATGCTTTAATATTTTATTTGGTTTATTCTCTGATATTTTTTCCTCTACTTCCAACTTGTTTTTTCTCACAATCTCCCTTTCTAATATTTTTGCAGGCTTTTGTTCTTCTTTGCCTGAATTCTCTTGGTGGAAAAGCCTCTAGCAGTCCCAGGGTTATCTCTTCCCTGAAGCCATTACAAACTTCAGCTTTATAGCAGGCAGGCACAAATGCATGTAGCACTGGATCTTTAAATGACCTTTGATATCTAAGAGACTAGCAGAAATTAATTCTGGTTTTGGAGAGTAAATGTTCTGAGCGTGTACACAGAAGATACTTTCAGATGTTAAAATGCTTAAAAGTTTTTGGAGGAAGGGGCCATTGTCAGTGCTTTAAACAGCCAAAATACCAGAACAGATCCAGGAGCTCAGAACAAAACTTCATCTGGTCTACAGTCTCGTTTTGGTCAGCGACTCACAGAGAATGAATGTCCTAGATCAGATACTCATGAGAGTCACACTTGGAAATTTAGGCATCCAGGACTTCAGACATTCTAAGCAGAGGACTCTGAGTCATGTTCATCTGATCAAATATGTGATTCAAACATGAATTTAAAAAAAAAGCACCAAAGGATATAGCTTGGCTTTACCTTTGATTTCTGCTTTTAGAAGTTTTTCAGATGGCTCTGCTGACCTTGGAACTCCCTTTGTACAAGTTCAACCCTGGAAATGAAGTCAGATGTGCAGTGCCCTGCCTGGCTGTGGTTGTAGTAAAATTTTGTGATGTTCCAGGGCCGGTTTAGTCATCTTTGTCTTTGCAGTGCCCAGAGCTGTATCTACTATTTTAGAGTCAGACACAAACAAGTGTATTCTCTGTCTATAAATGGCCAGTGGTATTACATGAACAACAGCTTGTGGTGATTCACATGAGGATAAACTGGATTTTTCTGCCAGAATAATTCACCTGGAGAGATGACTGCTTCCATTCACTTCCTTTCTTGGAAGCAGGCTGAGAATAACAAACTGTTCCGATAACATCAGCCTAATTCCAGTCAACATATTTCCTACTGAGAGGCAGGGCAGGCCCCACCCTGTTACATGACAGGCAGTAATTGGCCCTAGAAATGTGACTCATAGCTCTGACACTTGGCCTCAGAGGTAGGTGTCAGCAGCAGCCAGTTGTCACAAACCCCTGTTTGAAAGAGTGATGCCAAGCCTTCTCTCCAGCAGTTCAGTGTTCACCTCTCACTCCTTGGGGCTCTGAAAAGCCTCAGTCTCAGCTGTGTGCTCCTGTTAGATGGCTGCAGAATTTCAAATGAGTTTCCCTTTCTTAGTCTTGCTGCTGTTTCTCTTGCTGCAAACTAAACATTCAGGGCATCCGGGGTACTTCATGGTGGTCAGTGTGCCCACAAAGAGAGGACAGACCTCATTTTAGACCACCTCAGTGATTTCTAAGCATTTATATTTGTTGAACCAGACACTGTTGTAGCCTTATCCTCTCTTCTTCCAGCTCTATAAACACTAGGTCATTAAATGTTTAATGGTTTTGGGTTTATTGAATGTTTAACTATTTCACAATAAATGGAAAATCATTGAAAGGAAGAAAGGCATTGTCTACAAATAATATAATTACAGTATTAATAACAATAAGCTGTGACTACATGGATCTCAGCTTCTAAGTGTTAGACAAGAACATTAGACAAATAACTCTGGATCTGACTGTTTGGCTTATTATCTTGTCTCCAGCAATATCTTACAGCAGAAATCTAGGGTAAAGGACAGGTAGAGAGAGACATTTCTGAAAACACCCTCTTCATTTCCAACAAATGATAGCTCATGTCTTCCCCATTTAGAGGTGGTATCACATCATTCCACATTCATCTCCGTTATTGAGGCTAGTTATTTTTTTGAGCCCATGCAAACTCTTGGCATGCATAACATTCTGTAGCAAGGGTTTCCAGTGCAGACATGGTATTTTGGAACCTGTCCCTTGTTTGTTTCATCTGAGGACTGTGCTGGCTCACAACCATAGGCTCAATCCACCTACAGTGACCTTTATCCCCTAAGAGCTGCACTGGAGTCCAAACCTGAGCCATTACTCTGAAATTTACCTGCACATGGAGATATGGGCATGAACCTGCTTTAAGGGTCCTAAAGGATTTGTCCAAGATTACATGGAGAGGCACTGGAGAAACAGGAAAACATCTCAAGAGGACTCTGATGAAAGCACCCAAACTTTCCTTCAAATGTCCTTCTCTCTGGCTTAGTATCAATCTTAGTGCTGTGATTTGGGCTTGCCAGATAATCTACAACAGCTTGCTGGATCCCAGAGCATCTGATCTTCTCTTTTGAGCCCATGGAGAGCTAGGCTTCTGGCCAGCTAAGGAGAACAGTCCAGGCAGGCAGCCCTCTGGCCAAACTCCCTCTGGGTGTGCTAGCTTGGACATTGATATTTCCCTGACACTAAGCTTTCCTCTTCAGCATGAATTGCTCATTACTTGAATTCCATCAGGGATTTCTTGTGTCATGAAAGAGTGGAGATTCTGCCTCAGCACACTGAGCAGGACTGACTGCTTTCTGTGGATGAAGCTGTTGATGTGTGTGTGTGTGCCTGTATCTGCAGGACATAGATGTCTCAGTGTTTGCCTCTCAATGGTGCCTCTGTTCTACAACCATCTGTGTATAAAGCTGCTATTCTGCCATGAACAATGACTCATACAGGAAAGTCTTGAAGAATTAGGCAAGAACCGTGTTCATCCTGAGGACTATTGAAGACGAGGATCCAATCCCATAAATTCTTGGAAGAACTCAGCCTTAGTTTTCCCTTGACAGCTTTAATCTTTAAAATCTGCTCTTGCTGATACATATTTACAAACAGCGGGTTGGCAGCAAACTGTTTCTGTCAGTGGGCATCACACATCCACTGCTTGCCTCTGCTCACTGTGACCAACTTCTCCTCACTCCATTTTCCAAAGAGGATTTTACTAGTGACTCTTCCACCTCCTGTATTCTTCTGAGCCCCCACAGATTATTCTCTCCAGTCCCTTTTCTTATATTTCCAGGCTACTCTACTCCTCTGCTAACAATACTGGGAGAAGGTAGGGTCACTGTTCCTGACCCCCTGCAAGCTTCACCTGGACCTGCCCAAAAACTGTGAAGGCTGTAGGGACTATCTGGGTATCAAAAAATCACAACAATCTCTGCTTCAAATGTCTAGCCAGGTTTTGGTACTCAGGAAAGAGCTGAAAGGAAGGAAATATCCAGAGGATCTTATCAGACAGTCTCCTGTAGGCAGAATGAATGCAGAAGGAAGAGTTTCTGAAGATCAACTGAGCTTCTCTGACTAGTGGGGAAGGTTCTGGTTTGTGGCATCACTGTAGAAAAAAAAGATTGCAGGGTTCTTATATTCCAGTGACCCAGAAAGGAAACTGTGTGAGAAACAAAGATTAAGACGATCCAGAAAGTTTAAAACAAATGGTGACATATCCTCAATAATGTAATCATAAGAAAATTCCAGGTATATAAACCATACATACAAAAAAATACACACAGGTTTTCAATTGGGCTAGAATTTAATTAGGAATTTTATTCTCAGATTTTGAAATTTCTCTAGGTACCAGGTCTTGATTTTTCCAGCAAATTGATCAGTCCTCAAGCTGCATAATGCAACTTCCTTCCTGCTGGATTAGTGAGTTCAGCTGAGTCAGTGAGTGCATTGAAATCCCATCTCCTACTCCAAGCAGGGCTAACTTTCAAGCTGGCCAAAGTCACTCCAGGGTCTTGTCCACATGTATCCTGGAAATCCCATGGAGATTCTACAACCTCCTTGGGCAGCACTCTCCTGGTAAACGAGGTGCTCCCTTTGTTGACAGAGGATTTTTCTGGCTGGCAACATTGCCTTTTGTCCTTTCACTGCGCACTTGCAGGGAAAGCTTGGAGCTTTGGAATTCTTACCCCCTCCCCTTGCAGCAGCGTCTCTGCAGTGAGATCCCCCAGCCTTCCCTAATTCCCATCTCCTCTCCTCACCCAGCACACTCTCCTGCAGGTCCTGGGGCTGTGCTGGAGCCTCTCCAGCGTGTCAGCATCTCCCTTACAATGGGCTGAGTGTGTTTGAAAACTGCAGAGGGTGTTGCAGATGCAGCCTCCCCGGAGGCAGGCAGAAGGGAGTGAGCACATCCCTGCACTTGCTGACCACTTGCTAATGCCATCCCGTGACTGGTGGGTGTTGCTGCTGCAGGGGAGCACTGCTGACACAGGTCCAGCTTGTTTTCCACGAGAATCCCAAGGCCTTTACTGCAGGGCTGCACTCTACAGTCAATCCCCACTCTGCCCTAATACATGGAGCTGTTTTGCCCCCAGGTTAAAAAAAAAATAAAGAGGTTGTATTTTTCACAGAACAAATATGTGAGGTGAATTAGACCAAATTTATCGTGTGATTGGAGAGGGTCAAACCCTGGGTCAAACCTCTTGTGCTGAGTGTGATGCTAATACAAGTACAGATCAACAGTGGCACATGGGAGCAGCATTTCAGCCTGAGAATTTGGGGTTTTCTGCAGAAAGTTCTGATGTCAGTCACAGACTTAAGCAAACTCTCAGCACAAATTACCCTTTTCCTACAGGCTTGAAAGAGAATCTTGTAGGCCACTGGAATGAATCCCACTTCTATCCATTCCCTCAGGTCCTCAAAGGAGGAGCAGGCACCATGCCTAGAGGGGATGAGCTCCGTGTGTGCATGGTGTGGTTTTAAATCAGCATTTTAATCCTCCTTTTGATTAAAAATCCTCCTTTGCAGATAGGCAAACTAGCAAGAATTATCCTTTGGATACATTGAGATAGAACACAGCTCCATCTCCCTTAATCAGCTACTTTGTTACTATTCTAAAATAAAGAGTCTTGTCCTTTTTTATTTCCTAGTAGAGGAGATATTTATATTTCATGTCACTTCTGGTTTGACTAAATGAAAAATAGCACATTGCTTGTTCTTAAAGAAATAAATAAAGTTCATTTTATAACCTAGCAGTTATCTCATTTCAACTTCCTTCCAGCTTTCCACACTTTTTTTTGAGGAACAAGCAAAGGACTCAGAGGGCTCTGTAGGTCTTATGAGAACTACAAAGCACATCAGGAACCTCCTGGGAGTGCAAAGCATTATTTAGACAAAGGCTTTATAAATATGTTTTCAGCCATCATCACAACAGAGCAAAAAATAGCCCCAAGAACACTCCAGCAGAACTAAACTCCCATGCAAGAGCTGTTGCTCATTCCTGCAGTTTTTTCTCCCTTTATATCCAAACAGGTTTGTGTTTAACAAAAGGATAAACCCTGCTAATCTGCCGATTTGTCAGCTAGCCCTGTGCTTATCACAGCAGCGTTTGTTGGCCGGGGCAGAGGCAGCGCTGATGTGCACAGCTGTGCTGTGAGGACACATGGTGTGTGTCATGTGAGAGCAGCGTGGGCACTGGGCTGGACACAGAGCTGCTGTTTGTTTGTGACCAGGCTGTGCACGTCCATCTCTGACACCAGCCCCTGCCGTGCTGCAGGACGGGCCAGCCACAGGGGTGGCAGGTAGCCACGGGCTGGGGAGCGAAACAACGAGATGATTTTTGTCAGCTGGACAGACAGACAGTGCTTGATGGCAGGGCGCTGTCCGAGGGCCGTCAGCAAACAACATGCCAGGGAGTTCTGACTGGCACAAAGGAGCCCAAATGTGGACGGGAGGATGAATGGCCAGTCAGGAGGCATGGGTGACAGCCAGCTGTGATGACAGGGTGTGAAACACAGGATGAAGATGACAAAAACCTAAATGGAAAACAATGTATGGGAGCAATTGAAGCAGATAAATACACAGAAGAGAATGAATGACATGGGAGGAAGGGACACAGAGTGCTGGATGTGCTTGGGAGCAGGCAGGAGCTTTGGCTGGGGTGACCAGCAGGTGTGGGATGATGGCACTGGTGCCTGGCGACAGCACCGAGTGAGGAGAGCAGCCCGAGCTGCTGGCTGTCACTTGGGCCACCCGGCTGAGCACAGCCACGCAGCACAGCCCAGCATGAGCACGGCCAGGAGCCAGCACTACCTGTGCCTTGGCACTACCTTGGCACACCTGCCAGCAGCGGGAGGGATCCTGTCCCGGTGCAGGAGCGTCTCCGAGACACCACAGGGAGCCCCTGGAGCTGACGCTGTGCTCCCAACACGGCGTCTTCTCCGGGACAGCAAGGAGCGGCTCAGCAGCGGCGTACCGGGGGCACCCCGCGCAAACCACACCTCGCATCCCCCGCACCCCGCACCCCGCACACCGAACCCCTCAGTCTGCACACCCCGATCCCCTGCACCCCTTGTACCCACTGCACACCCCGATCCCCCGCGCCCCACACACCCTGTACCCCCCGA